AATAATTGCCTGATGTGAGAAAACCGTATTCCCCATTATACAGTTATTTAACATGAGAAAAAACATGAAACTCTTCAAGAATAATGGTGCGCTTGGCAAGATGCCATTTCTTCCTTACTTTGCTGTGCTAATGGTTTGTACATTAGCCTTGGGTAAAAAATGGCCTGACCTGTTCATCGCATTTTACTTTCTGTTACCATTTATCAGTAAACAAATATGTAAGCAGCTCCCTCCCCCATAAAATCATAATATCATTTTAGATATTCTGTTCATGGATTTTTTTTGCAAGATTTTATTGTAGGGGTAAAAGGAAGCAATCAGTCAGACTTTGCCTGTTTTTATATGTTGTTGACTCTGTAAGGCTGACTCACCAGCTCAGGAAGAAACATAAATACTGTTCCTTAGTCCAGTTCAAGATGAAGGGGAAAGACCTGTGACCCACAAACTATACTGAACCTTCCTTCAAGGTCCGGAAAAAGGTTGACTCAGCTAATCCAATCCACGTGGGAAGGACAGCTTGGTTATTTAGAGACCAATGGGAGCTTTAATGACTCTGCCTTGAGTCTAATTTTTCCAGCTAAAGCCCAAAAATCTCTATACCATGTTACAGTATCAACTGGAGCCATGAATGTTCATTGCATTGCACTATTTGGGCTATGCATATATACTAATACACATATTTCATAAAACATTTAGCTGCCACATGAAATACAGACCATAGGAGAAGTGTCTCAAATCCATTATCATAATTGCTGGATTTCTTCCATGTTCATCTTAAGGGGGGAAATATTTCAGAGTATGAAAGATTCAGATTTCAGAGTAATCTATATGAGAGAAATCTCATTAAGAAATAAGAAGAAAGAATATCTTAATTTTATTATTTTTATTTAAGACACATAATATTTTCCAAATATATACTTGTGTTAGAAATATTGTCAAATTAATGTCTATACATTTCTTAAAATGTCAGAGAACAAGCTTCTATTTTGTGTATGTGTAATCCCTTTTTTCTATCCTAAAATATTGTACCAAATGCTGATGCCCCATTTCTCCAATTTGCAGGGCAGAGGTAGATGATAAATCTGCATTGCACAGGTACTGTAATCCACCCAGAGGCTGTAAATTTCAGCATCAGAACCTGCATTAAACAAGCTACCACTGAATTAGGCATTTGCCAGAGTATGACCAGAGAAAACATCCACCGTTTTGTCTTATTCATTTTAATATGCCACTCATGGCTGCTTTTTTTTTTAATATCTACTACCAATATTATTAACTAGACTTTTCTTTTGTCCCTGCCTCCTCTCTCAAATTGCATATATTTGACATACACATGTACTGTACTTTTTTTTAAACAACCATTAGGATTTTTAAAACGGTTATGTTAAAAACATAATTGAGTATTGCTGAGTATTGTTACCCCAGCTAGCAATATATTTTAGTCTGTAAGTAGTCCCATTCATTTCCAGGGGGCTTCATAGGTACTTAAATTTAAACATCTTGCTGGATTAGAGACAGAACACTCAACATTTACAGGACCAAAGCTTATTATCTGAACTCAGTGGAACTTCAACTCTGTAAAGTTACTTAGGTGAGAAAGTGTTTGTGGCAGCAGGGTTAATTTTTATCTTGACATAGCATTTTTTTGCCTTAAAAAAGTCTTGTAAGTAATCAACACAATCTTGAGTGTAAAATTAGGAATAAAAAAACAAAACAAAAAAGCTACAAACATCAAGGCCCAGATCCTCAGAGTTTTGTTAGGTGCCGCAGCATCGTTAATAGATTGGATTTAAAGGACCAGTCCAAGTCCCAGTAAAGTTAATGGGATCATAAAGAGCAAGACCTTTGGGTCACATTTTTAACTGAGCTATAAAAACATACACAAGCTGAAGCCAATGGATCCATGACATTTTATGTCCTGCTGAGCACCTGACACAACTTTTATGCATTTCTTCATAACAAAGAAAACACAAACAGCATTTTATAAAGCAAAACACAGAAGACTTCAAAAAGTAAAGAAGGCAGCATTTTTGTTCCAGGCTTTGTACAGGAAGACTAAGATATACCAAGTTTTAGGGTTATCACTTGGGAGATTTGAACAAAGGATGGTGTTCACTACCAAAGAAGATTTCACTAACAGAAAAATAAACAATTTTGAAGTGGAGGGGGGAAATCCTCTCTTCTTATCACATTAGATTTAAAAACCTGTTGTTCATATTTTATTTTTTGAAGTGGCATAATTCAAAGAAATAATTAGTAAGCATTATATAATTGTGCATATTTATCCTATACTTCATTAATTTGCATGATACAGATAGTAGCTGAATCAAATCTCAGATCTCACTATCACAAATTCTAAAAAAATTAGTAGGGAATGAAAATACTTGCTTGCAACACCTGCTAATAAGTTTTAAATGAAGCAGCAAAATACTTCTGGGATACAAGGAATACTTAAGTAGTATTTAAAGATACCTGTCTATATATTTACCCTACATCAAGCTTTTTTAGACTCAACATCCCAACCTCCGCCACTGCAATCTAGTTATCCCTTGGGAAGCATGAGCTCTTAGTTTTTCACCCATTTCTGGACTGCTGAGAAAGCAATACTGTACTTCCATTGCAAAGAACTCAGAAAGACCACAACAGGTCAAACTGTTGTTAATAGCATGGAGTCCTTTTTTAAATCTCTGGGTTTATTTTATGAATCAAGTTTGCACATCTAACAGTGCTAAAATTGCATGTCATCCTTGAAAGGATTTCAAGGTACTGTAGGGTGCCACAGCACGTTGTTGAAGAATCACAGCTCTACAATATTGACTAGGGTTTCTGCAGTTAACATCCTGCCTGATCTTCTGGCTGTTAAAGTAGGTACAAGGTCCACTGACTGGAATTGAGACTATTATGATTCCTCTGCCTATGCCTATGCAAACATTAACAAGGCCTACTTGAAGTCTATTAATTTTCTTGGTGAATCAATCAGTCACACCTGCCTCCATAAGTCACTGAAAAACTGTCAGCACATCTCCCTGGCAGCTTCTCACACCAACTAGTAGGGAGAGTTAATATAACAACATTGCCAGGGTGCTTTGGTTTCTTTCCTGTTTCTGGATCAAAGCTTGCTGAAACATGTAGTTGGTTAGACAGTGATTCAGAAGGTGCTCTCTCCCATCTAACAAATCTTAGTTTTGCTAATATGTACGAAAATGAAACAAGGAGCATTAACTGCCTGTTCCTACATATCTTCCTACTTTGCAGGTATGAACATTTAACAAATAACAAGTCAGTTAACTTCTAAATCGATAATGATCTCCACATAGGATGTAAGGGTATCTGCAAGGTAGCACGACTGGGCACTAATTCCAGCACTTTAACTAGAATATCACTCACTGTTTACTTCTGAAAAGCAAGGGGAACCATTATCTCTTGTTTTGTGTGGGTCTACATAAACCTTGTTTTTTGTCTGAAAGTTGTTGCTTGCTACATGTTGCACTTTCATTCTAATTAGTCTGTAGATCCCTAGCCCTAGGTGGGATAAATCTAATATCACATTAACTGAATACTAATGGATGCTTTGGGGAGCTAAAGTCACAAGCTTTTAGTAAGTCACTTTGTGCATTATATTTTTACAAAACAAATAATTATTACATGCTGCAGCAGAACTTTTATTTAATTTCACCCTCAATAGCAAATACGCAGCCAGGAGTTGTCAGATACACTCTTTATTTCAAGTGCTGCCTGTGCTCTTAAGAACAACCCAAGGAAGTAAACAGCAAAGATTTTAACTGCTCCCATTAATACGTAGTATGACACATTCCTTGTTGGACTGCAGCCTCTGTATACCAATTAGAAGAGCAATGGAGATGAAAGGCAAGGTGGTAAGGATCACTAGCAATACTCCTAATGCTGAACTTGTCCTGAACTTGCCTCTGTTCCTGTACAAGGCTTTCTATGCAGGGCAGAGAGAGAAGCAGACTATGGCAGGGAAATGCTATAGACAAGTTAGACTGTCATTCCTCCAAGGATTTACAGAGGCAACTGGAAAGGGGGAAAATAGTAATCCTCTATTTCCCATGGCTGCTCCAGAAGTGGAAGTAACCCAAACTTTAGTAGGATCATAGGGTAAAAAGGGCTGGAAGAGCCCTCATGAGAAGTAGGAGATGTGTAAGTGGCATGCCTACCTATAGCACTGGATTTGGCTCAATAAGCTTGTGTGTTTGTATAAAATAAAAATAAGACAGAATTTTTTTCCGTTTACAAAATGCAAGTTGGAAAGGCATTTTTACTGAATGTAGTGGTTCAGGTTTTGTTTTGTAACTGCATTTACTTCCAGAGAATAAAAATATTTATAATAGTTACTTGACCTTTCTGGACCAGGACCCAAACATTGACGGCCGGTCCTGACCCAGTAAATAGTTTATGTAGGAAGCAGCCTCCTTGCCCTGCCGGCGCCCCTCACTCCCTACCTGACTGCTGGGCATGTGTGGGGCAGGGGGCAACCACTTGCAGGCTGTAACTGCCAGCTTGCAAGGGAAACCCCGCTGTTTCCTGTTTTTCTCCTTTAAAGGAGAAACCACTTTAAAAGTTGTTGGATCCATTTTTAAAGGTTGTCCACAGCCCTTTCATATATTCTTGCAACCCACTTTTAGGTCGTCATCCATGGGTTGAGAAACTCCCGACTACATGAACTCTTGAGGTCCCTTCCAACCCTCACTTCCTGATTTTAAAGGGCTGTTGAAGCCCTCTGTGGAGGGGGGGGGGGCAAAGCTGTTAATCTAGGATTGATTTATTTAAAAAAAATAACGGGGGATGAAATCTCGCCTCCATCCAGGCTGTCTCCAAGTCAATGGCAAAAGCCATCCGCGTAGGGCCACGATTTCACCCTAAGGTGCTAGCCAGTTCATGAGCCACTTCCATCGACACTCTGCCAGGGATGGCAAATTCTCACCCAGTCCTAGGTTTGATGGATCATATTCCTACCAAAAGAAACTCCACAGAAAGAGATGAAGAAAAAGGCAACCTTTTTCTCAAAGGTTGAGAGAAAGGAGGACTTGAAAACGGGTGGGGAAGGAAGTGTCATTGGCTTTAATGAAATGATCTGCAGGTAGGAGCGGGGGAGGGCGCGGGGGCCCCTGAGGCAGCACCGCGCATGCGCGGGGGCCGGGCCGGGCCGGGCCGGGCCGGGCAGTTGGGGCGCGGCCCCGCCCTGCTCCGGCGCGAGGCTGAGTCCCACTCTGCGGGGGGGAGGGGCAGACCAACCCCGCTTCACGCCCTGCAAGTGCCGGGCAGGCGCGGAGGGGGCGCTGGCTCTCGCGTCGGCATTGCCAGGTGCCCCAGAATGACCCTGTTTGTACAGTAAGTTTCACCCTTGCACCATCAGTAATTGTACAAGTGTTCAAAGGCGCGATGATTTCTTGAGGCAGCTCATCGCTGCAGCACGTGCAAAACCCAAGTCGCTCGCTTGGAGTCTTAACTGGCTTTTTCGGGGGCGGGAAGCGTTGTTTTGTTTTGAAAGAAACGTTTTGTGTTCCTAACCAAATTAGGGCCACATCCATGAGTCAGTCCAGAGCCATCAGTAGCCCCACAGCCAGCAAACATCCTCCTTGCTGGCAGCCCGGCCTTGTGACTGCTTGCCTCCCAGTAAAGAAATGCTTAAATTTTCATGACCCGGTTCTCACTTGCTTGCTGGCGACTTAGCGTGAGAAATATAAAGTAAAGAAGAAAAGACTTGCATATTTGCTTACTATACCAGAGCTTTTCAGCCAAGATGAGAATTTTGAGCTTCCGGTACAATGATTTCATATATAAGACCCGGCAACGCTGGGCAGGGACAGCAGCACCTCTAGTCGGACACTGCTGCGGGAGTGCATTGGCTTCAGGGCTCCTGAAGGACCGTCTGTGCTTTTGCACTGCCACGCTTCCCACGGTCCTTTCTTCTGCTGTGGTACTGGCGAGCCAAGAGGGGATTGGGAGCTGCAGTTTCCTGCCTCTCTCCCTCAAGACCAGAGCCAGGGGCTGCATGTGAAGCTGCTATCAGGTTTCCAGCTAAGGGAAGGCAGGAGAGGGGTTTGCAGAGTGGGGAAAGCAGGTAATAGGGAGCTGGCATTTAGCTGACTAGCCAGCATTCAACTAATTATTGCTCTCACAAGAGAAGAGCAAGGGGTCCCCGTGTGAAGCTAGGAGGCAGGAAGCTTAAAATGAACATGGCACGTGTTATTCAAGTGTGAAGCCAGATGTTGTTTGAACCTGGCTGAACTACCAGCTCCCACAGACTGGACATGCATTCTTGGAGGCAAGCAGTCTCAGTAGCTACAGAGCATGGGAGATAGGGGTACAGACCCTCAATCACAACTTCCTAGGCCTTCAGTGCTGGAGGGTCGCAAGGGAGAGAGGAACAGCAGGGAAAAAAAACCTTGGTCAGACCCAGTGCACTCCCCCTTCCAGCAGCCATCCCCTGCCCCTGTGTCACAGGCCTTTTCACATGCTGTTTCCTGAAGGTGGGCCTCACAGCATGTTTGGTTTGCTGTGTCATCCCATTAAAGCAGCAGTTCCCAATCTTGGGGTCACAACCCCATTTGAGGTCACAAGGATAAAAAAATGGGGTTGTGCACTTCCAGGAAGGGAGACATGGGGGGCGGGAACATGCACCTCCCAGATGCACCTCTGGCTGTGTGTATCAGCCTGTGCATGCACACATACACAGAACACTGGTATCATTGGTATATGTGTGCGCTCACACTTGTGCTCCTAATGCCATTGTGTTCTGTGTGCGCGCACACCCCCCCCGCCGACACCACTATATGCTCTGTGTGTGTGCACACGCAGGTATGCCACCAACACCACTGTATTCTGTGTATTCTTGCAAACATGCCCCCCACACCACTGTGTGTGTGCATGCACATGTGTGCTCCTAACAACACTGTATGCTGTGTGTGTGTGCCCATGCTGTTTTGTTGCATTTTCTTTATATTTTTCACTTGAAAAGTTGTATTAATGTTTCCTTTCTAGAAACAGCTTTCTTGAAAAATTTGAAACAAGGCGTCAAAGAGAGAATTAGCTGCATGTATGCCCTGAATGTCTTTTCACCCAACTTTAATAGTCTTGTCAGGGTTGCCAAATGCCCGTAAGTTTATGGACACTCTGTAAAAAACAAAAATCAGGCTAAAAAATGCCTCTGTAAAGCCTATACAAATTTTGAGCCATCCATAAAAAACAAACAAGCTCCAACTGCTTTGTGCAGTTCCTTCTTGGACAGAAGCTGTACAGCCAGAGCTTGGTTGAAGGATGTACAGAGTGTAACAGCACTCTAGGGTCCAAGTGGGAGTGCAGTAACTTACAAGAAGCCTTCTCAAGGTTTGTAGACCTGTCTCCCTCTAGCCATGTGCTGCTGCTATCCATCCTACTGCTGTGTAGCTGGTCAGCTTCTTTGGGGCTTCATGTTAGGATCATGGAAGTGGAGCTGTCAGGGGTAAGACTAGGGCTAAGCTGGGGGGACAGTGTGGTGCAGAGTGAGCTAGGGGGCTTGGGGGTGAGTAGGGGGACTGGAGTGGGGGTGCAAAACCATTATAGTCAGTCAAACAGGTTTGCTAAGCCAAGACATTTTTTTATTTTTATTTTTTTACTGCAAACCTGTTACTGACAGCTTTTTTTTTTTTTTTCCTCCACTATACGTGGTGTTAAACTCCTAAATTTGAATCCAGCCCAGCAGGGCAAGTCCTGGCAGAAGAGTTATATTTACATTAATGTCAAACAGTAAAAATCTGTCAATAATAAAAAAAAAAAAAAGTTTGATGGCTAATGAAAAAAATTGCAGATTGTCAGTAAAAAAAATAAAATTCTTGCTTTGGCAACCCTGAGTCTTGACCACAAATTGACAGTAACTCTTCTGCTTGATGAAGATTATAGGGATCCTGGTAGTCTCTGTTTAAAAATTACAAATTCTCCATTTTAACCTCCCCCCACAAATTCTCCGATTAAAAACCCCCAAATCCATGTGTAACAGGGGGCCTGATCCGGGCAGATCTCACTGTGGCCTGCCCACCTGTTTCTGGGCTAACCACCCGCCTTATCACCTGCCATGCCTTGTTGATAATCAATTAATTGATGTAAATTAAGCATGAGGCTGCCCATTTCCTGCCCCGATGCCAGGGGCGCCATCTATGGCTCCATTCGTCCCCCAAAACCACAGCCCAAGCCTCGCATATGGCATCCATAGTTCTTACAATCACTGGCCCCACGCTGGGCCCCATAATCCTCCGATCAGGGCCCCTCTCAGATCCCTCCATTCTGGCAGCCTAATCCACCTTAATTCTCGGCAGCATAGCTTCCCCGAGCTACTTCCCCCTCACAGGTGTGGCCCCCTTGGGCTACTCGCCCTGGCCCACCTCCAGGCCAGTCAGAACCCCAGGCCTTCAGCTCCTGGGCGTTCCTCACAGTGGGCTCCTGGCCCTTTGACCCTTCCGGTCCTGGCCCCAGCTTGGACCAGACAGGTTCATGAGTCCATGGCCTCACACTCTCTCTGGGGTGAGGGCTAGGGGTTAAGGCACCCCAACCTGCCTTTCACCGGGGTAGTAACTGGCCTGGCACTTTCTGGGGGCTCCCACACCACTGGGAGCCCCACCAGGCCACCCACTCCTGGCAGGGTGCAGTTTTAGGTCATAACCAGGAGCCTCCTTACTATCCCCTACAGCTCCTCCCTTACTTCCAAATTATACCTGCAGCCAGGCAATGTTGTTGCCTGGCCTCCCAGCAGCAAAATACCCTGTTTATATAGGCAGACCTAGATCCAAAATGGCTGCCCTAATCAGGCACTTGCCAGCTGCTGTCTTCTGTCCCTTAAAGTGGCAGGCACAAACAGTGCCCTGCCACACCATGTTTTTCTGTGATTAAAACGCCATTTTATATAGGTATTAGCTGAACACAACATTTTATTTATCTACTTACAATTTTAAAGCAATTTAGAAGCCTAAAAGTACCTCAATTGCTATAGTAAAATAAATTCTAAAATAAATTCTAAGTATCTATAAACTTTGGCATTTGATTTAGGGTTTTTTATCATAGAAAATCACAGGTCCCCCTGCCCCTTTGCTCACCAGAACACAGGTCCACTGTGGCTGTGCCCCCTGCCTCTGCCCCCCCCCCAGCAGTATCCGAGCCCCAGCTGCCGCCCACAGGAGGCAGTGTTTGCTGCGGCAGAGTGGGGCACAGAACCCGGATCTCCTTCCCTCATGGGCGGCACATCTGGAGCCGAGCCCATTGGGGGGGAAGAAGGCAGGTGTGGGCTGGCTTCTGTGGGCTCAGTCTCCCTGCCTTGCTGCTCTCTCTCCCTGAGGACCTCCGTGTCCTGGCAGATGAGACCCAGTGCAGCAGGGCAGAGCAGGGCCAGGTGGGGAAGCTCAGTGTCACCACCATGAACACTGAGTTGCCATGGAAAAGTGTCCCCTGCCTGCCTGGTAGCAGCGAGAGGCACAACTCCACACTGCCACCCCTGCTGCTGCCAGGCGGGCAGGGGGTGCTTCACCATGGCACAACAGGACTTGTGGCGGTGGCACCAAGCTTCCCTGCCCCCTTCTGCCCTACCATGCCGGGTCCCACCCACCGGGCTGGGTATTAAAGCAAGAATGTGTTCATCTTTATACAATATAAAAATTATTTATCTACACTCAATAAATTTTGCTATCAGATTTTATTACCTAAAGCTCAAATATTTATAATTCATGAGTTTGTGCCTAGATATCAAGCTAGACCATACTCGAAAATGCTGTCTTCATTGAGATTCTGTGCCATTCTGGCTTTAGCCAATACCACAGTAATATAGAAGTGTGAAAATTCTGCTTTCATGCAAAGAGATAGCAAACTTTTTTGCATGTCCAAGAGAAACAAAATAGGAATGTAATCAAATTGTTGTAATGCTGTTTTAAAAGTAAGGCAGACCTTGTGGGTGATGATTTGGAAAGGTTCTCAAAGTCAAATTTTTAAGTGTTTGAGGTACCATTAGATAAATGTGTACTGTGTAAGGAATTCTTTTGAAAATTACTCTAGCAGAAAATGCTATAAAAGCTTAACTCTTTATAGAGGAAGTGGCTCACTGAAAAAATACCGTAACCTGGACAACAAAACACACAAGCTTTCCACCCCAAAACTGACAAGCTACATATGTATTTGATACAGTTTTAGATTAGAACATTTTTATTAGAAATTAAGGCTTAATGTGCAATTGAATGTAGTGAAAGTTTTGTCTTAGTTTAATGAGTTCAGGATCATGTCCTTGGTTAACCATTTCTTTTGGCATCAATTTTCTTTATTTCTTTCCATGTCAGTTTTTCTGAGTAGTGCAGAAGGAAGAGGAGAAGAGA